TGAGCCGTAGGTATGGGATCGACAGAAAAATGGATCGTCGCAAATATAAAAGGAGTTTGACAAATTTCGGATGTTTGAATACGACCCATAGACAGACCTATGCCCATTCGTGAACCGTATGTTGGTGGTGATGAGTTTTTGTTCAACTTTGTTCCGGTTGTGAAATCTCTGCCGACTGATTTTTCGACCGAAATATCGAGTGCAACTTCCTCAAGGCAAAAATCCATCAAATTAAATTCATGCCACCCTTTTTCGTGACTGAATCCCGGCCCTGGGAGAATATTTCACTCCCAGGTTCGTAAAGGGCACCACTGATAGGTGTTCAGCCTTCTGTTGTGATGTGATTATTGCATTTACTCTAAATTTATCTCTGCCAAGTGCCAGGGATACAACACATCTATGCGAGTACTGCGCAGCCCTACATGGCTATTATTACGATCGACTATTGAGGCGCAGCTCTATACAATGGCATAGAGTAATGTGGGATAGTATTGCTTGGAATTAAGATTGTAGTACTTCATGCATAGACGGTGATGTACTGTATCGCGGGTGCCAAATATGTGTATATAAGTCCTATCTACTACTGTGATATGTAGAATAATATAACTAAGCTATTCATCATATCGTCAAGCTCTGATAATCGTTATCCACCCTCTGCACTATCCCTAGAATATTCAACATCTCATACCTACTCATACCTTAATTACAACACCTTCACCCTCCCTTTTCCTTGACAATAGCAGGCTGCTTGACATGTTTGATCCACAAAAATCGAAATGGAACCATATTTCGCGAATCAGCTCATTGAAAATAGATTATGTGGTTTACATGGATTTGGTAGATTCGATACCAAGCGTAAGTCTGGCAGTATAACGTAATGAATGAAGCATAATGGTGATAAGCTTCGCGCTCTCCAATTAAATCGTTTCGTCCTTGCTTCTGTCGAGTTAGGAAATATCTCCCATCAGAATGAAACACCAGATTATACTGGCATGAGTTTTCGTCGCATGACGGATTGAAGACAAGAGAATCATCCTCGTATGTCCATTTGTGGAATTAAATTGCATCTTCATCTCATGGCTCAATTAAGATTACTTGAGTTAAACAATCAGTAATGAAGGAGCTTTAGGTCAGAGCTTGGCTCATTTGTTCCTCCAGCGCCATACGCCATGGAATAAACCCCACTCGCTTCCGCTACAGTTAACCCGAATACAGATAAAGATATGTTGAAAGTAAACCTTGTTGGAAATTTAACTAGTACAAGGCCTTGGTCGCGACAAGAAACACTATCAACAATCTTGACTGACACTTGTTTGACTCTCGCCAACACTAATATTACGGCAGAACAACGAAAACGAGTTAACAAGCAGGACCCATTCCAACTGTTATTTTATCCCTACGTAGTAACCTTGAACTTCAGAGTTTATAATTCGATTACGCAGATCTAAATTCTCGAAATCAAGTTTCTTAGCGCAACGATAACCGCGACGTCGGCCGGTCTTTTACTTCTAGTACCAGCAGCTTATGGGATGGGATATTTTCGATGCGGACAAGGCGATCCCTTGAGTATGTGAGAGATTTGGGACATTGCAAATAATAAAGATGGCAAATTCTTGACAGAAAATCGTGAAGAAAACCCAGCTACTCCCACGGGGGAATCACCGAGAGCATATTTTTTTACGAAGGGTTTAGCTCCAGGTCGTCAGTTTTCCCATGCCTCCGAAATTTGTCTCATTAACCGATAATTTCTAGACATATATATATCTGCCTACTTCATACAAGTATATGGGCAACCTCCGAATTACCAAGTGTCTCAATATATCGACAGGGCATGGAGAATATGTCCTTTTGAATTCTTTTTATCGTAACAGGCAGTAGATGATGTAAGAAAAAATTTGATTATATTCCCTTTTGAGTCTAAGACTATGAAGGACCTCTAGAATCTACCATTAAAATTCTGGCAACTATTTCAATGTTAGAACGACGTTATTTAATGTTTTCCAATAGAAATTGATGGTCATGCCCTGGATAGGTACTAGTGTTCAGCAGTCATCTGTGTCAAATTCAGATCTGTCATTAGAAAATTGCAAATAATATATTCGAAATAGAATAGAAATGAAGGCGCTCTGTTTGACCATTGTCAGTAAATAGGGCTCTTGGCTGATCCGCCAATTTTCGTTCAATCAACTACTTCTATTTTTTTTTTTTGCATCAGATTTTAATTGCGTATGCAGCTATCTAGCTATGACACATTATCAAAGAAAAGTACAGAATAGATGATTCAACGTAAAGAAAGAGCTCTCATGCCTCAGATTTCATTTGCAAGTACCACTGCGAAGTTATGGTGGCTTTTTCTTCACCCCAAGTCAACCCTCATCCGTGAATACCCACCCAGGGGCACGTTTCAAGAATCCTGAGTTATCCAGACTTGCCTCCATCATCCACTGGTTCTTCTTCGCGCGAACTGTGGTCTGAGGCGTCTCCTTTCCAAGTGGAGTAGGTGCCCAGACTACTCAAACTATGCCAGAGAGCACCACCAGGAGGCGGACCACGACACCTTCCATCGTCGGCTTGTTTTTATAGTGTCAGCTGCACTCTCGCAGGCATACTCTGGCGCGCACAAAGCTCAACTCGTAAAACTCCTTGCCAAACTTCGGAATTTCACGCCCGTCAAGTTAAATTCTTCCTTTGAATCATCATGTCAACTTGTCCTGATCCTTCTCACGTCCATCCCAAAGAACTGTCTCCCAGATTGGTGCGCCGCGCTTTGCTTCCTCCGTCGGGTGTGAATATCGGCGTGAGCGTGTATTTGGTAGTCAACTAAGGCCAGAGATGGTCGAAGAGAGGTGTGGTCATTGGGATGAGGATGTACTAGGTCGTGCTTTTAGACTCGATGAGACTTAGTTAAGAGTGAAACTTGTTGTGGGCAATAAAACGGCGTGTTCGAGTAATTTGAATTATTGCATCGTGGGTCAACTTGTTCGATAGTGCGAAATTTGACTGAACCTGGTTCTGGGAGAATATTTCGATCCCAGACTCGTAGAGGACTCCGCGCACAGGTGTTCAGTCTCGCCCTCTTTGGCGTTTAGTAGTTGAAGATAATTTCAAAAGAACTAGGCACGCGGTCACCAGTCTCATGAAAGCCATCTTTGTGGCCATTGGCGTTGTCAAGCTTATCTTATGTGACTCAGTGTTGGTGTAGCCAATACCAAGCTCACAGGTCCATCGCGCCACGCAATGATCAATTCAACTACTTCTACAAAGCTCTATTAACACATGACCTCTGACTCTAACAGCTTATTTTGATTGAATTTGCTATAACTTTGAAACTTTTGATCTACGGAACCCTTTGCCCTATCTACGTAACCATCGTGCTAGTTCTCCACAAAGGAAGTGCTTGGAAAAGGCGCGATAAAACAAAGCCGGGCGATGCTCCAGACTCATCTGTTCATGAGATTGTTTGTTTCACCAACATCTTTCTCTGTGGTCCGGACGACTGACATCAAATATAAGTCGCACCACATGTGCCCCGGATGATGTAGATGTGAAGAAAGAGCGGGAAAATTTTGCAGTAACAAGCGATTGTCAAGGTGTTGATGCAGAGATAAATATTCTGATGGACGACTCGGGAGTTGAGGGCGAGACGCAGTGGACCGGACACGGAGTTTTGTTTTCTTGTTAATTTCCAATTCACGTCAGATTGATCTTGTTGGAAACATAGAGTCTTTCGGGATCAACGACCCGTGCCTGGCTCATTGCAATAACAAATAACCCTACTACCACTGCGAAGATTCTCGCAATTGTAAGATGTGGGGAACAAGTAGAATAGATGTTGAACTACCTGGCCAAGACAATATACAAAAGGTAACGGGCTATGCTAGGCTAGTCATTACGAGTTGCTTGAAATGAAGTGATCCACAAGGACGGAGGAGCCAAATTTCGCAAATTGGCTACTTGAAAGTGGATTCTGTGGTAAACAAGGCTTAGTAGATCTAACTCCAACGACAAATCTAGCAGTGTACCGTAATGAATAAATCATAGTAATGATACACTTCACGCACTTCATCTTAATCATATCGTCCTTAGTCCTGTCGAGCCGGGGAAAATCTATCATCAGTGTGACGGCTAGTAAGCCGATAGATTGCCTTTAGCCTGTGCTATTCCGTCCAGATAAATACATAGTTTCAGCGCCAAGTTACGCTCGGGTTGAAAGTCTGGAAGTGCTCATGTTTGAAGTGTTCGTAATAAGCTCACACCTGAATATATATATATTTTTATTTATTTATTTAATTCATGGTCTGTTCAGCTATCTAGCTATGACCCATACACCTACATAATGGGAGCATGATCGGAGGACAGCTGCTAGTGTTTGGAACATTGGAATCATGTATATAAATAGGGCGTTAGATGTAGCATCACTTTTGTTCTTCAGTCAATAAACTCACCTTTCGACATACAAACACCCAAGCTTTACCTGCCGGAAACGGTATAATCAGAATGAGATAGTGAATATGCCAGTATGGCTTTTCGTTTGATGAGGGATTGAAGACAACATACTCATGCTACTCTAAACCTTGCCTGAACGAAATTGACTCTTCATCTCAGGGCTAAATTAAAGGTACTTCAGTTAAATAACTAACAAAAAAGGAGCTTTTTAGCCAGAGCTTGGCTCATTTATTCCTCTGGCGCTATACGCCATGGAACAGACCCCACACGCTGCCACTTCAATTGATCCAAATATAGATGTAGTGATGCCGCAAGCTAATCTCATCCGAAATGTATCTACTACAGGGCCTTTGCCCAGACAAGAAATCTTACCGACAGTTTTGACGAACACTTCTTTGACTCTCGCCGACATAAATATCGCAGAATAGTGAAAAAAGCCTGATAATCAAGACTCATTCTAGTCGTTGCTTCCTCTCCACTAAGCCTTGCCCTTAATATCAGACGGCTTATTTCCTCAAGCTCGCATCTCGATTCCGTGGAACCACTTTCCCGAAATGAAGTTTATCAGCACTGTTACAGCCGCGGCGTTGGCCGGTCTTTTACTACTGGTACCGGCCGCTTGTGGAAATCGACACTATATTTGTGACCGTGGCGATCCCATAGACGAGGTAGTGGCTTTACGAACCATGAATAATGCTTTTATGATAGAGCACTCTCATGAACACCCAGCTATTCCTACCGGGGAGCCACAATGGTCATTTTTTTTCACTAAAAGTTTGAATGCACATAGTTAGTTATCCCGCTCCTCTGACGTTTGTTACATTAAGCGTCCCTTCTAGGATTAGGTATAGCTTGCTACTTACTACAAGTATATGGGGATCCTCCAAATTACCAATTATTTCAAAGTTTCAAGAAGGAATGGAGACTATGTTCCCTGGAAGATAAGAGTTAGCAGACACCAGAATTCCACAGTCATTGGCATCAATTTCGGACCTCCCCACGGAAACTCGGCTATGATATATCCGGAATGGAATAGAAATGAAAACGCACCATATAAACATTGTCAGTCAATACTGCTTTCTGCCCTTCCGGAATATTTCAATCTTCTAACGACTTCTCTCATTCCACCCCAACTTAATTGACACACTCGGTCACCTTATTAACGAATGCCTAGACCTCGGTCGTTGGTCGAATATGTAAATATGCATGACGGAAGACTTGATCAGACATCACAGGGCCGCATCAACGGAATAACGTCTGCATGAACTTTGTATAGTCTAATCTAAAATTCGATTCTTGTATATTCTCAGTCTTTGACTTGACAAAGCAACTGGACCATCTCTGCTAAGAGGCCAATTACGTTGATGCGAGTGCGACCTCTCCTCCAAAACCTCCCACGCAGCTTTCTTCAGACATTGCCACCCCTCACTAATCCTCATACAATCAAACAGTCAGAAAGGTCGTCTGCCCAAAATCATCTTCCTTATCTCTTACCAGTGAAGCGATAGTTATGCGAGCGTGCATTAAAGTCATGGACAATGGCAACAGCTACAATGTTCGGGACACTTCCAATTCCGCCATCAGCGCTTCGTCCGAGATCTAAGACTCGGTGCCTACCAAACTCATGACAAGAAGTCCTCGAAAAAGCTAGTCCAAGCATATACATGCAAGCCACCTTCAATCTCTCGTTCCAATTCTCATCTGCCCGCCTTCCCTAAAGCTGTAGGTCCCCGTCAGAGGCATGGTAACCTTTAGGGCGAGACCCGACCTATATTTAACAAGACCTGTTTACATCTTTGCAGATATAGTTGGAAGCGTAGTTTCGAAGTGAGTGATGGTTGGTGATGGTTGGTGATCGTTCTGATAATTGTATTCGAACTTGAAATCTTCTACGTGATAGGAAGAGCCCAATATCTATTTAGAAGTGACACGGGTAGGTGGACTCCGAGAGCTTATTGCTTCCTACATGACTGGCAATAAAGCCAGAAGCGACGAGAGATGTGAAAAAGAGTACGGTAAATTTCCGAGTAACGGTGCCCTGCGCCGCATCTCCATCTTTCCAACACATCTCCTCTCGAGTTGGAAAGAAACTCAGCATGGCTACCTCCCACCCTGTTCATTCATCGACAGACTGTGGTATCTGCTTGTATTTAGGAATTAGAACAACTTCTACCATCCCCTCTCCCCTATCATTTCCCTGGCCCCACCTGGGCCCGTTTTTTCACAGCTTCTCCAACAGTGCAAAGCAGGTCGGCACGCTGAAATATGCCAGGGCCTTTTCTCTCGGCCGCAGATGCACTCTAGATTTTCATGTTCGCGGTTGAAAGGTCGATGGTATTCGTGTTTTATTTTTTCATCTTTTTTTGCCATGACATTTTAGTTGCGTATGCAGCTATCTGGCTACGACACCATATCGGAGAAAAAGTACAGAAGAGATGACTCAATCTACAAGAAGAGCACTCATGCCTCGCATATCATCTGCGAGATTCACTGCGAATTTATGGTGGCTTTTTCTTCACCCCAAGTCAACCCTCATCCGTGAATACCCACCCAGGGGCACGTTTCAAGAATCCTGAGTTATCCAGACTTGCCTCCATCATCCACTGGTTCTTCTTCGCGCGAACTGTGGTCTGAGGCGTCTCCTTTCCAAGTGGAGTAGGTGCCCAGACTACTCAAACTATGCCAGAGAGCACCACCAGGAGGCGGACCACGACACCTTCCATCGTCGGCTTGTTTTTATAGTGTCAGCTGCACTCTCGCAGGCATACTCTGGCGCGCACAAAGCTCAACTCGTAAAACTCCTTGCCAAACTTCGGAATTTCACGCCCGTCAAGTTAAATTCTTCCTTTGAATCATCATGTCAACTTGTCCTGATCCTTCTCACGTCCATCCCAAAGAACTGTCTCCCAGATTGGTGCGCCGCGCTTTGCTTCCTCCGTCGGGTGTGAATATCGGCGTGAGCGTGTATTTGGTAGTCAACTAAGGCCAGAGATGGTCGAAGAGAGGTGTGGTCATTGGGATGAGGATGTACTAGGTCGTGCTTTTAGACTCGATGAGACTTAGTTAAGAGTGAAACTTGTTGTGGGCAATAAAACGGCGTGTTCGAGTAATTTGAATTATTGCATCGTGGGTCAACTTGTTCGATAGTGCGAAATTTGACTGAACCTGGTTCTGGGAGAATATTTCGATCCCAGACTCGTAGAGGACTCCGCGCACAGGTGTTCAGTCTCGCCCTCTTTGGCGTTTAGTAGTTGAAGATAATTTCAAAAGAACTAGGCACGCGGTCACCAGTCTCATGAAAGCCATCTTTGTGGCCATTGGCGTTGTCAAGCTTATCTTATGTGACTCAGTGTTGGTGTAGCCAATACCAAGCTCACAGGTCCATCGCGCCACGCAATGATCAATTCAACTACTTCTACAAAGCTCTATTAACACATGACCTCTGACTCTAACAGCTTATTTTGATTGAATTTGCTATAACTTTGAAACTTTTGATCTACGGAACCCTTTGCCCTATCTACGTAACCATCGTGCTAGTTCTCCACAAAGGAAGTGCTTGGAAAAGGCGCGATAAAACAAAGCCGGGCGATGCTCCAGACTCATCTGTTCATGAGATTGTTTGTTTCACCAACATCTTTCTCTGTGGTCCGGACGACTGACATCAAATATAAGTCGCACCACATGTGCCCCGGATGATGTAGATGTGAAGAAAGAGCGGGAAAATTTTGCAGTAACAAGCGATTGTCAAGGTGTTGATGCAGAGATAAATATTCTGATGGACGACTCGGGAGTTGAGGGCGAGACGCAGTGGACCGGACACGGAGTTTTGTTTTCTTGTTAATTTCCAATTCACGTCAGATTGATCTTGTTGGAAACATAGAGTCTTTCGGGATCAACGACCCGTGCCTGGCTCATTGCAATAACAAATAACCCTACTACCACTGCGAAGATTCTCGCAATTGTAAGATGTGGGGAACAAGTAGAATAGATGTTGAACTACCTGGCCAAGACAATATACAAAAGGTAACGGGCTATGCTAGGCTAGTCATTACGAGTTGCTTGAAATGAAGTGATCCACAAGGACGGAGGAGCCAAATTTCGCAAATTGGCTACTTGAAAGTGGATTCTGTGGTAAACAAGGCTTAGTAGATCTAACTCCAACGACAAATCTAGCAGTGTACCGTAATGAATAAATCATAGTAATGATACACTTCACGCACTTCATCTTAATCATATCGTCCTTAGTCCTGTCGAGCCGGGGAAAATCTATCATCAGTGTGACGGCTAGTAAGCCGATAGATTGCCTTTAGCCTGTGCTATTCCGTCCAGATAAATACATAGTTTCAGCGCCAAGTTACGCTCGGGTTGAAAGTCTGGAAGTGCTCATGTTTGAAGTGTTCGTAATAAGCTCACACCTGAATATATATATATTTTTATTTATTTATTTAATTCATGGTCTGTTCAGCTATCTAGCTATGACCCATACACCTACATAATGGGAGCATGATCGGAGGACAGCTGCTAGTGTTTGGAACATTGGAATCATGTATATAAATAGGGCGTTAGATGTAGCATCACTTTTGTTCTTCAGTCAATAAACTCACCTTTCGACATACAAACACCCAAGCTTTACCTGCCGGAAACGGTATAATCAGAATGAGATAGTGAATATGCCAGTATGGCTTTTCGTTTGATGAGGGATTGAAGACAACATACTCATGCTACTCTAAACCTTGCCTGAACGAAATTGACTCTTCATCTCAGGGCTAAATTAAAGGTACTTCAGTTAAATAACTAACAAAAAAGGAGCTTTTTAGCCAGAGCTTGGCTCATTTATTCCTCTGGCGCTATACGCCATGGAACAGACCCCACACGCTGCCACTTCAATTGATCCAAATATAGATGTAGTGATGCCGCAAGCTAATCTCATCCGAAATGTATCTACTACAGGGCCTTTGCCCAGACAAGAAATCTTACCGACAGTTTTGACGAACACTTCTTTGACTCTCGCCGACATAAATATCGCAGAATAGTGAAAAAAGCCTGATAATCAAGACTCATTCTAGTCGTTGCTTCCTCTCCACTAAGCCTTGCCCTTAATATCAGACGGCTTATTTCCTCAAGCTCGCATCTCGATTCCGTGGAACCACTTTCCCGAAATGAAGTTTATCAGCACTGTTACAGCCGCGGCGTTGGCCGGTCTTTTACTACTGGTACCGGCCGCTTGTGGAAATCGACACTATATTTGTGACCGTGGCGATCCCATAGACGAGGTAGTGGCTTTACGAGCCATGAATAATGCTTTTATGATAGAGCACTCTCATGAACACCCAGCTATTCCTACCGGGGAGCCACAATGGTCATTTTTTTTCACTAAAAGTTTGAATGCACATAGTTAGTTATCCCGCTCCTCTGACGTTTGTTACATTAAGCGTCCCTTCTAGGATTAGGTATAGCTTGCTACTTACTACAAGTATATGGGGATCCTCCAAATTACCAATTATCTCAAAGTTTCAAGAAGGAATGGAGACTATGTTCCCTGGAAGATAAGAGTTAGCAGACACCAGAATTCCACAGTCATTGGCATCAATTTCGGACCTCCCCACGGAAACTCGGCTATGATATATCCGGAATGGAATAGAAATGAAAACGCACCATATAAACATTGTCAGTCAATACTGCTTTCTGCCCTTCCGGAATATTTCAATCTTCTAACGACTTCTCTCATTCCACCCCAACTTAATTGACACACTCGGTCACCTTATTAACGAATGCCTAGACCTCGATCGTTGGTCGAATATGTAAATATGCATGACGGAAGACTTGATCAGACATCACAGGGCCGCATCAACGGAATAACGTCTGCATGAACTTTGTATAGTCTAATCTAAAATTCGATTCTTGTATATTCTCAGTCTTTGACTTGACAAAGCAACTGGACCATCTCTGCTA